ATATATAACATGGGTGTCCCGAGCAAGGACCACGCATTTCAACGTTCCGTAGCGCGTTCCCTCGGCACGTCCCGCGGTGCGTCCCCGTGGCACGTCCCCTGGCACGTCGCCTGGCGCGTCCTTTGGGACGTTCCGCGGCGCGTCCTCCTTGCATGTCCCCCATGTCAATTAGCTCTGGGGCAGCTACTGTGTGCTGAGGCAGCTCGAGCTTAAGATCCAGATCAGTTCGGTCAGGACTCGGATGCAAAGGGGGACTCGATCCACAACGCTATGGAGCACAATCGCAGTATGGCACATCACAATTCAGCACGGCGTTGCACAGCACAGCCCTCGGCACAGTACATCAATATCGATACATTCAGAATTGCGTTTGCCCGTCGCCCACTCAGGTGTCTTTGAAAAGTTGCCACGCCTTACATTTCTATATTCCTTTCCAGTTTCGTGGGTCGATCATGTTTTTGTTCACCAAGCGGCTCCCCAGGGGTCTGGACCCCTTCCCAGGGACCAGTGTTTCATCCCGCGTCGTTTTGTTCACGGTCCTCGGGCCCGGTAAGGGTCCCCGGTAAGGGCCCCAGGGAGGAGGGAGGAGGAGGAGAGGAGGAGGAGGAGGAGAGGAGGAGGGGAGGAGAGGAAGGAGAGGAGGAGGAGGGGCACGGAGGTGAGGAGGGGAGGAGAAAAGGAGGAGGAGAGGGAGGAGGAGGAGGAGGAAGGAGGAGGAAGGAGGGCAGGGGGAGGAGGAGGAGGAGGAGGAGAGGAGGAAGAGGAGGAGAGGAGGAGGAGGAGGGCGAGGAGAGGAGGGAGGAGGGAGGGAGAGAAGAGAGGAGGAGGAGGAGGGGGGGCACTGAGGGGGAGGGAGGTGAGGGAGGAGAGGAGGAGGAGGAGGAGGAAGAGGAGGATGAGGAGGAGGAGAGGGAAGAGGAGGATGAGGAAGAGGAGGAGGAGGATGAGGAGGAGGAGAGGGAAGAGGAGGATGAGGAAGAGGAGGAGGAAGAGCAGGAGGAGGAGGAGGAGGACGAGAAGGAGGGGCTCCTTGGCTGCACGAGAAGGGCCGGCGCGAAAAGCCGCCCCCCTCCCTCGGCACGGCAGCCCGAGGCACCGGCCTCGAGTCCCTGGGCGAGGGGGCGATGCCGCCCCTCGGCGCCGAGGACCTCCAGCACCTGAGGCGGCTAGCGGCTCTGGGGGAGGCGCTCCTTGCGCGCCTCGAGCCTCGAGCCTCGTCGTTCCCTGAGATGTTTTACGTTGCAACTCTTCACGCCGGGCGTTTTCGCTCAATTCCTGGCCCCGGGACCCTCACGGACCGATCCCGCCTAAAAAATGACGCAGAAAGATCGGGTCAGGGGCTCAGCCTCCCTCCTTTCTTTTTCCATCTTTCTCCTCGCTCCTTTCTCCTTCCTTTCTCCTCCCTCCTCCCTCCTCCCTCCTCCCTCCTCCCCCTCCTCCTCTTCCTCCTCCTCCTCATTTTCGGGAGGTCCGCGCGGATTTCTTGGATCGGCGTGCGGCTCCCCTGGCGACGCCTCTGGCGCCGCCCCCGGCGCACTCCGCGCGCCAGGGAGGGGGGGGGGGGTCCAGCGTAGATCCAAGAAGTCCGCACGGACCTTCAAGAAGTTATGTTTATGCCGTATTTCGTTACTCTGGTTTTGAGTCGGGCCTGTCCGTCTGCAGGGGGACTATTCAAAAGTAGTCACAAGAGAAAACTCTGGAGACGATTTGTTGAGCATAGCTTAAATATGTGTTAGCATCTTGGGTGTGTGTTTTGAAATTGTTCGTCCAACATCCCCCTGTAGGGAGACATGCCCGACCGAAGTCCAGCGCAGATCCAAGAAATCCGCACGGACCTTCGAGACATTCTGCTTATGCAGTGTTTCGTCCTCTGGATCCGCCTCAGCTTGTCTTCCGGAGAGCGAGAAGTACAGTGAGCGGCTTGAATAAGGAACACTTCCTTTTCAAAAGGGGCTCGGTCGTTCCTTAGGCTTGCATGCGTGATTCATCATTCCTTAATGCGTTATTTGTTATATCTCGTTCCTTCTGCGTTACTCCTTGGAGAAAAAAGGGGCTTCGTTCCTTATTTCTCGTTCCTTAGGTCAGGCCGATGACTGTAATCATAGCTATGCCCAGGGGCCACGCCGGCGGGGGATGGGCTCAGGGGAGGGGTTGACGCATCGATCCCCTGTCGCCCATTCACCGCTGATAGGGGCGGGTTGGCCCGTCCCGCCCAGGAGCCCCAGAACGTTCGGATTTGCTATGCATCTCAGAGCGTGAATTACCTACCCCGCTTTCGCTTCCAGGCAAAACCAATTCATACCACGCGCCTCCTCGTCAAGCGGCCTGACCAGTACAGGCCGTAGTTTGGCATCGCTTGGTACCTCTTGGAAGCGAGGGTGGTCAAAAGCGAGGTAGGTTTGTTTGCCCCCTAGTATCGGCGGTTCCAGCGCCATGTTTCCCCCCTGAGCTTGCCCCCCCCGATCGTTCCTCCGCAGAGGCGTCCCAGGATTTCAGTGTCCGTTGCCCCACGCGGCCAGCAGCGAGCGGCGAGCGCGAGTGGCCGAGGGCCGCTAGGAAACTCCGCGATCCGACCTGGGCAGAGCACATCATTCTCGCTCCATGTAGGGGGGATACCATGGGCTGTCCGTGAGTTATGGCCCCCCCCCTCCCCTTTCAAGACGTCCCCTGGCCCGCCGCGCCCGCACACACGCCTCGGGGCATGATGTTGGTAGCCCCCCTCTTCGTGGCCTTAGCCCCCCCCCGTCCTTCTTCGGCGCACCCGAGTCGCCGTCGCCGCGTCTTCGGGCAGGCCTGGGATGGAGCTGAGTCGCCCCAGGGCGTTCTGGGGCGCCGGGCGCGTCCTCAAGGCCCGCCAGTTCTCGCAAAGTCCCAGGCCACGTCGATGCGGCATTGTCTCCACCCAGTCTTCAAGGCAGCAATTGTCCTCCATCGCCCGTCGAAGAGAAAGCGAGTAGCAGAAAACACGTGTTTCCCATATCCCAAGTTCGGGGGCTATTGAAGCCTCCGCCATCTCCTTCGCATCACGCATACTCAGACTCACTCAAAATCAGACTCACTCAGAATCTGACTCACTCACCGTCAGAACACCCAGCTCACACTTGGATCACTCACTCATACTCAGGTTAACTCACACTCAGTCTCGCTCACACCCAGATCAACTGATACTCAGACTTGCTCATACTCAGAGCCACTCATACACAGACCATTCCCATTCAGATCCACTCACACCCGGCCAAGTCATACTCATATTCAGACACACCGCTCACAGCATTCGCCCGCTCGCGCCCAGATCCCTGAGGGTGTCCCAAGCGGTGTGCTTGTTTCGTGGCCCCACAGACGCCTCTCCTGTGAGAGCCCATGGTCGCCGCTGCATAGCAGGCGTAGCACTGGCGCATCCCAAGGGAGAGCCGCCAAGAGGTGTTGCACTGGCCCGTTCCCGCCCAGGCTGTGGGGTTGTCCTCGTGCGGTCTGGTTGCCTTGTGCCCCCAGACTACGCTTGAGGGCCCCACGATCGCCGCGACATAGCAGGCGCGGCACTTGCGCACACCGAGGGGGAGCCGCCAGGGGTTCAACATTCGCCCGTTCATGCCCAGATTGTGGGGGTGTCTCTGGCGCTTTGCTCGTGTGTACCCCCAGCCTCCAACCTGCTTCTGAAACCCTCGGCCGCCGCGGCAAAGCAGGCGTGACACCTGGGCGCACCAAGGGGGAACCGACAGGCGGTGTTTGACTCGCCAGTTCACAGGCAGGTTGTGGGGATGTCTCAAGCGGTCAGGTTGCTTTTGTCCCCCGGACTCCGCTGCTGTCAGAGCAGATCGGGAGGACGTCCCGAGTTAGGCGCTCGCTTTAGCACTCCAAGGGGGAGTCGCCAGAGGGTGTCGCGCTCGCCCGTTCGCGCCAGATCGCGGCACTCGAAGGGGCAGCCGCCAGGGTGTGTTACAATCGCTAGTTTGCGCCCAGGGTACGGGGATGTCTCCGACGGCTTTCTCGTTCCGTGGCCCAGACAAATTCTTGTCGAGAGCCCCATGACCACCAAGATACATCAGGCGTTGCAGTGAGGCACCTCAAGGGGGATCCGCCAGGGAGCGCTCAGTCGCCGAAGGTTGATATTCTCTTGTTCAAACACCGACAGACAGGAACACCAGGAATTTGGAAGCACATATGGGGATCTCTGCTCCGAATACTTGTTACCCGGGGCTCTTATCGTGCCCTTATGTGCTCTATTTCAGCAGCTGCTTCCCTCTTTCCATCCGTGTGAACAATACGGCTGTCCGTTCGGGAAATGTCTTTCACCCACCCCCGTCTCTCCATTCTTACCCAATCCCTTCCTCCACTCCCTTTCCCCTTTTCCATCCTCCACTCCATCACCTCCTCTCCTCGCCGCCCTGCCGTTTTCCTCCTCCCTTCTTTCTACTCCTCCTCCCCCTTCCCTGTCCTCCCTGCTCCTCGTCCTCCTCCTCCTCCTCCTCCTCCTCCTCCTCATCCCTTTCCTCCTCCTCCTCCTCCTCCTCCTCCTCCTCCTCCTCCTCCTCCTCCCTACTCGCCCCTCCTCCTCGTCCTCCTCCTCCTCTCCTCCTTCCTCCTCCTCCCCTCCTCCTCCTCCTCTCCTCCTCCTCCTCCCTCCTCCTCCTCCTCCTCCTCCTCCTCCTCCTCCCCTCCTCCTCCTCCTCCTCCTCCTCCTCCTCCTCCCTCCCCCTGCCTCCCCCCACCCTCCCCCCTCCCCCGCCCGCGCCCGCGCCGCCGCGCGCCCGCGCCCCCGCCCTCGCCGCCGCCGCCTCCGCCCGCGAGGTGTTCCCCACCGTGCCGGCCAGGACGCTCCCGCGCTGGCACGGGGCCCACGGCGCCGGGCCCCGCGCCCTGCCCGGGCCGGGCGCCTACCTCTGAGAGGGGCGACGCGGCGGGCCAGGGTCGGCGGCGCCTCAGCGCGCGCCGCGGCGCGCCCTGGGCGAGGGGGCGCGCGCCGAGAAAAGGTCGGCGGCGCGGGGGGCGATCGATCGAAGAAGAAAGCATGGCATACGTCAGATTTCGTAATAAAGGGAGGGGGGTCTCATTTCGGGGGGGGTCTCTTCCAGGCTATCTTGGAGGGCCTGGGGGGTCTGGGGACGATGTTTTGGAGGGTTCTCCCACGGGGGAGGTCTGAAATGGCTTGTCTTGGAGGGTCCAGACCCCCTCCCTTTTATTACGAAATCTGGCATACACATCATCTCGCGGAGGTCGATCGACCTCCTACCCGGACGCGTCGATTCAGGAATAGGCCGTGCTCCGTTCGCGGGAGGGCGTCGCGGCCGTCATTGTTGCGGGTCCAGGTCCGTCGGTTTCGGCGGTCCTGGGCCGTTTTCATTCAGGGAAGGTTTGCTAAACGGAGGTTTGTCCACCGCCGAATCTTCGGGCGCTCCGCGCAGATCTCTTGGACCCGCGCCGCCCCCCCTCGGCGGCGCCTCCGGCGCCGCCCCTGGCGCGCTCGGCGCGCCACGGAGCGGGGTCCAGCGCGGATCAAGAAATCCGCGCGGAGCGCCAAAGTTTATCTTTAGGCCGCTTGTTCTTCCTCTAGAGAAGAGGTCGGCGGCGCGGGGGGCGATCCCTTCCTCTACGCCTGGGCGCCTCTGGCACGGGAGGGGGGCGGAGTTGAGCCGAGGGGGGGGCGGGGCAGCACGGCCCAGGCCAGACTGCAGCAGGCCCGCGACACGCGACAGCACGACCTGGGCTAGGCTAGGATGCGCAGCTCCTGGGCGATGGCGGAGATGACGCGCGAACTGCGACTCGAAACAGCAGGGAGGGAGGACGAGGGGGGGAGGCTCTGCAGGCATCGCCGGCCCGCGTGCGGAACACGCCTGCAGGCGTGGAGGAGTGAGGCAGCCTAGCAGGAAAACCGGAGCACTGGTGGGGCTCCAGAGGTGGGGTCGTGGGTTGCGGCAGGTGGCAAGCTGAAAGCAGAGCTGGTTGAGGGGGGCGGGGGGGGGGTGGAAAGTCGAGGGGAGAGTGGAGGGGTTCTTTCTAGGATGAGGGGGGGAGCGAGGGGGGTGGAATTGCGCGATGTTTTCCACCCTCGAGCCTTGACCCTTTCTTCCCGACAGCACTGGATGAGGGCGACGACGAGGACGAGGAGGGAAAGGACGGCGAGGAGGAAAAAGAGGAGGCGGAGCAGGTGCAGGCAGAGGAAGAAGCAGGTAGAGGAAGAGGAGAAAGAGGATAGGGATGAGAAGAAGGGGGAGGATAGTCAGGATAGGGAGGAGCAGGAGGAGGAGGAGGAGGAGAGGAGGAGGAGGAGAGCGAGAGGAGAGGAGGAGGAGGATGGGGAGGATAAAGGGGAGGAGGAGGAGAGGGGGAGGAGAGGGAGGAGAGGAAGAGGATAGGAGTGAGGAGAAGGAGGAGGATGAGGAGGAGAGAGGAGAAGGAGGAGGAGGAGAGGAGGATAACAGATAAGAGATAAAGGGGATAAAGGGGCAGAGAGGACTGAGGAGGAGGAGAGGAGGAGGAGAAGGAGAGGAGGAGGAGGAGAAGGAGGCACGTAGGAGGAGAGGGGCAGGATGAGCCTCGATCCTCCTGCCCCCTCGCCCGCCGGCCTTTGGCCCCCGCCAGGGAGCCCCCTCGCGCCGGCGCGGGCCCGCCGCCGCCCCACCGCGGGCGGGGCTCAGGCGGTCCCCAGCCCCTCCTCCCCCCCCCCCTCCCCTCGCCCCTGGTCCTCGCCCCTCCCCCCCTCGCCCCTGGTTCCTCTCCGCCATCGGCCCCTCCCTCCCCCCTCCCCCCTCCCCACACCCATCGCCCCCGACTGCCCCCTCACCCCCTTCCCCTTCCCCTCCACAATTACTCCATATGAATGCTACTCTGTCTCTTCCCCTGATGACGGTTTGAATGTGCTCTCCCCCCCCGCGTATTGTTACCTAACAGCAAAAATTGATAGGTTTCTAGTGGTGTCAAAAGAGAGCATCTGATGACTCAGAAGGGAGGTCTGGGCGGCATCCGGACAGCGAGGGCCGGGCTCAGGGCCGGGCTCGTTTTGAGCAAACAGTCACACACTTCGTGCTCTTCGACCTCCCAGAACTCCATTCCTGAGCCACATTTTGAATGCCCGGAGCCAACTGTAGGCCACTTCGTGCTCTACGACTTCCCAGAACTCCATTCCCGGGCCACATTGTGGATGCCCGGAGCCAACTGTAGGCCACTTCGTGTTCTTCGAATTCCCAAAACTCCATTCCTAGGCATGATTTTGAATGCCCGGAGCCAACTGTAGGCCACTTCGTGGTCTTCGAGTTCCCAGAGCTCCATTCCTGGGCATGATTCTGAATGCCCGGAGCCAACTGTAGGCCACTTCGTGTTCTTCGAGTTCCCAGAACTCCATTCCTGGGCATGATTTTGAATGCCCGGAGCCAACTGTAGGCCACTTCGTGTTCTTCGAGTTCCCAGAACTCCATTCCCGGGACACATTTTGAATGCTGAGGCAGGCTGATGCTGAGGCTGAGGCAGGCTGAGGCTGAGGCAGGCTGAGGCTGAGGCCGAGGCTGAAGGCAGACTGAGGCTGAGGCTGAAGCTGGCTCAGGCTTATGCTGAGCGGCTGAGGCTGAGGCTGAGGCAGGCTGAGGCTGAGGCAGAGGCTGAATGCAGGCTGAGCTGAGGCACCCTGAGGCCAGCCGAGGCATGCAGGCAGAACTGAGCTGAGCTTGAGCCTGGCGAGGCTGAGGGCTAGGCAAGGCTGAGCTTGAGCTAGGCAGGCTGATGCTAGAGGCATGCTGAGGCTGAGGCTGAGGCTGAGGCAGGCTGAGGCTGAGGCAGGCTGAGGCTGAGGCCGAGGCTGAAGGCAGACTGAGGCTGAGGCTGAAGCAGGCTGAAGGCTGAGGCTGAGGCAGGCTGAGGCTGAGGCTGAGGCAGGCTGATGCTGAGGCAGGCAGAGGCTGAGGCTGAGGCTGATGCAGGGTGAGGCTGAGGCAGGCTGAGGCTGAGGCCGAGGCTGAAGGCAGACTGAGGCTCAGGCTGAAGCAGGCTGAGGCTGAGGCTGAGGCAGGCTGAGGCTGAGGCTGAGGCTGAGGCTGGCTGATGCTGAGGCAGGCTGAGGCTGAGGCTGAGGCTGATGCAGGCTGAGGCTGAGGCAGGCTGAGGCTGAGGCCGAGGCAGAAGGCAGACTGAGGCTGAGGCTGAAGCAGGCTGAGGCTGAGGCTGAGGCTGAGGCTGAGGCTGAGGCTGAGGCTGAGGCTGAGGCTGAGGCTGAGGCTGAGGCAGGCTGATGCTGAGGCAGGCTGAGGCTGAGGCTGAGGCTGATGCAGGCTGAGGCTGTGGCAGGCTGAGGCTGAGGCCGAGGCTGAAGGCAGACTGAGGCTGAGGCTGAAGCAGGCTGAGGCTGAGGCTGAGGCAGGCTGAGGCTGAGGCAGGCTGAGGCTGAGGCTGAGGCTCATGCAGGCTGAGGCTGAGGCAGGCTGAGGCTGAGGCCGAGGCTGAAGCAGGCTGAGGCTGAGGCTGAAGCAGGCTGAGGCTGAGGCTGAGGCAGGCTGAGGCTGAGGCTGAGGCAGGCTGATGCTGAGGTAGGCTGAGGCTGAGGCTGTGACTGCGACTGCCGTTGCCACTGCGACTGTCATCGCGAATGCGACTGCGACTGCGAGAACAGCAGAATTCTACAACTGGATTCTCATATGAATCTTAAGGGGAATGCTTCCAGATATGCTCCTACACATCGCTGTCAGGTTGCTTTGCCGGGATATTTTTTTTACTCAGGATTCCCTGGAATTGGGTTTTCGCTTGCATTTTTTTCCAAAATGCTGCTCTCACTGAGGCGCCGGCCTCATTTTCGGGCCCCGCTCGTTCCGCCGAATCGTGCTCCCGCTGCAGCGCTGGCCTCATTTCCGTGCTTCCGCTCGTTCCGAATCGTGCTCCCGCTGCAGCGCTGGCCTCATTTCCGCGCTTCCGCTCGTCCGACTCGTGCTCCCGCTGCAGCGCTGGCGTCATTTCCTGTGCCATGCCACGCATGCAATGCAATGCTAGGTTGATACTACACTTGCGGTGCTCTTCTACGCCATGCCATGCCGTGCTCTACAATGCATCGTGCACCCTTTCGGGATCATTGCCCTGCTCGACATCCGACTGTGCGAGTAGAGAGAGGGATCTACGCCATGGTAAGGGATGGGAGGGAGGGGTAGGATGTCAGATATGACGCGAGCGCACCTAGCTTGCCCCCTCCCCCCTCCCCCTCGCCCCTGGCCTTCTCCCCTCGCTCCTTCCCCTCCCCCCTCCCCCCTCCCCTCGCCCCTCCCCTCCCCTCCCCCCTCGCCCCTGGTCCTCTCTCCTGCCTCCCTCCCCGTCCCTCCCTGTTGCCTCCTGCCTCCCTGTTCCTTCCTCTTCCCTGCACCACCCTTTCTCCTCCTCCTCCTCCTCCTCCTCCTCCTCCTCCTCCTCCTCATACGTCCTTCCTTTTGTTCGCCTTCGTTCCGCCTGCTCCGCCTTCCCTCCCCTTTCCTGCCCCACAAGTCGCTATTACCTTCACAATATACAGTGTTTCCTTTTTTTCCTGCTTTCGACGTGACCATCGGCGTCACCAGCGTGCCCTCCGCGCGAAGGGGTGCTGAGGCGGGCTGGCACCTTTTTGTTGCACCACTGATGTTTAACACTTGTTGGCGAGTGCTTGCGCCCAACGCTTTATTTCATGTCGCTGGCATGGTCTGATTTGAAGGCCGACGGCACGTGATACTGGTCTGCACTGCCGTGTGCGCTTGCGGATAACGGCCCGCATGTTTGTCCCGCCTGGTTCCTCCTCCTCCGCCTCCTCCTCCTCTTCCTCCTCTTGTGGCCAGTGTTGTGTGTAGGATTGGTTTGCGCCAGGGTTTTCAAGCAGAGGATGCGCGTGATACCCGCCCTTTGGCATCCACGTTTCCCAGTTTCCCTTCTCCTCCGCCTCCTCCTCCCTCTCTGTCTCCTCCCTCCTCCTCCTCGGAGTCTTGGTGTCAGTTTGTTAGTCGTACTGCCTGCGACCGTTAATCTTGCCACTGAGTCTTGTAATATATGTGTCTCGTTGCGC